TCTGGAGCACGTGTAAAGAAACTCTTGGATGCTACATTATGTTTACTTTGAAATTTACATGTCCCTCAAAGCAGTGCGTTTTTCATGCAGGGAAGACATTGAATCCCCCTTTTGTAGACATAATTCATACTTTCCAAGGCACATTCAGTTCTCTATAGAAAAAGTTCCTGCATCCTCCTCCCTTCCTCACCCTAGTACTAAAAGCAAACAAGTTCCAAGAAACACATCAGACAAAGGCACAAAATTAGACACGTAAGTAATGCTTGAGCAGCAGCAATCAATCTAAAGCGGGGTTGCCAGAGTCACTGAGATGTCTCTTTGGCAATCCCTTGCAGTCAAGGATGAGTGTCTTCTATAATTGTCTTATCTGTGTGTCCCAAGATAGCTGCTGAGACCTATCTGAGATCAACAGACTCTACTGCAGCTTGGATGTGATTTTCCATTCAGGGTGGGTGGTGCTGAATTCTTGATTTAGTCCATGACATGCTGTTTCTGCAACTCCCACTTTTCCATCTCCTGTTGTTGTCATGAGGTTTCAAAGTACTGAGATCCCTGCAGCAGACTCTTCTTCCATATAGGGTGGTCCTGGGCAATAATCTCCCATGAGTTGACATTGATGTTGCATCTTTTTAAGTTGGCATTGAGGACATCCCTGAAGCGCTTTCTCTGCCCTTCTCTTGAGTATACATCTTGGCTGAGCTGGGAGAATAAAACTTGCTTCAGGAGTCTGGTGTCGGACATCTGGATGACATGGCCGCCCAACGAAGTTGATGTTGGATGATCATCACCTCAGTTCTCATGGTGTTTGCTTGCAGAAGGACACTAACGTTGGTATATCTGTCTTCCTACTGGATTTGGAGAATCTTCTGCAGGCAGCATCATGGTACTTCTTCACGAATTTTAGATGTCTTGTGTATGTTGTCTATGTCTCAGCTCCGTACAGCAAGATGGGAATCATGACTGCTTGATAAACTGTGAGCTTGGTTTCAGATCTGATGTCATGATCTTTGAACACCTGTTTTGTCAGGAGTCCAAAGGCTACATTTGCACATTTGGGGTGATGTTGGATTACTTGGTTGATGTCAGCCTTGTGCTGAGATGGCTTCTGAGGTACAGGAAATACTCAACGTTCTCCAGAGTCTCACTGTGGATCTGGATTACTTGGAACTGGGTACTGTTTATTAGGAGTTTGTTGGTGGAGGACCTTAGTCTTCTGAATGTTAAGCCCAGTCACATTTACTTGTATGCCTTGGTAAAGACATTGACAGTTGCCGGATCTGCTTCTGAGAGAGTGCACACCACAGCATCATCAGCGTACTGGAGTTCAATGATTGAGGTCGGGGTCGTCTTGGTTTTGGCTCAGAGTTGACTGAGGTTAAACAGGTTAAACAGCTTACCATCCATTCAGTAGTTTGGCTCCACCCTGACAGGAAGATTGTTGGTGGTCAAATGTAGCATTGTGGCAAGGAATATTGAGAAGAAGAGTGTTGGAGTGATAATGCAGTCCTGCTTAACTCTTGTTTTAATCTCAAAGTGATCTGTGATGGATCCATTACTGAGAGCCACTTCTATCATGCCATCACAGAGCAGGTAGAGAATGGTGACAAATTTTGGTGGGCATCCATACTTTAGAAGGATCCTCCACAAAGCTTCTTGACTGACAGAGGTGAAAGCTTTAGTGACATTAAAGAAGGCCATATAGAGAGACTTTATGTTGTTCTCAGCATTTCTCCTGCAGCTGGCGAGCTGTGAAGATTGTCAGTTGTGCCTCTTGATACCTTAAAGCCACACTGAGATTCCAGGAGGAGCTCTTTGGCAAGTGGAAGGAGATGGTTTAGGAGGGTTCTTGCAATGTTATCTCTCTATATTTTCCACAGTTGGACTTGTCTCCTTTCTTGAAGATTGTCAGTAGTGGCATCCCTGATGTCATCTGGGATTTCCTCCTCATTCCAGATGCTTAAGATGAGAGTGTGAAACTGTGATGTGAGCTCCTCTCCCCCACTTAAAGATTTTCATGGGGATTCTATCTGCTCTAGATCTAGCCTTATCATTCTTCATTTGCTTGATGGTTTTCTTTATCCCTCATCAAGAGATTCCACGATCATCTCTGACTGGGTGTTGTGTGATGGCGTTGAGAACACTCTCATCAACAACAGACGCTCAATTGATAAGGTCTTCAAAATGCTCCTTCCTACAGACATTGATGGCCCCCTTTCCTTGATCAGGTCTCCTCCATCCTTAGGTCTCAAGGGGGTTGGTTCCTGAGTGCTCGGACTGTAGATAGCTTTAGTGGCACCGAAGAAACGATGCATATCATGGATGTCAGCAAGACATTGAATCTCCTTAGCCTTGTCTTCTCACCATTTATTCATGATATTGTGGGTCCTCCTTTGAACCTGTGCCTTGACTTGTTGGAGATTCAACTTCTTTTGCTTGATGTTGGTGTCATTTTGCCAAGCTTGGCACTGAGATGTTTTAAGGAAGACATGGCTGGGAGATGGATAGCAAATATTAGCAATAGAAAAGTTAATATTCTTGAATTAACAGAAAACAGACAACATTATCTAAATGTGTTTCCTTTTTAGCACATTCAACCAGTACCTATGAGTCAAAACTCTTCAGTTTAAAATCCTAGCTCCAGCCAGTCACGGCAAAATTTGTATTGCTTTTATTGGGGCCAGAGTTCTACCTTTAATATTTTCTGGTATTAGCACAAGACCCTTAGCCCACAGATTTCCATTTTTTCTAGCGTCTCTTTTGTTCTAACATAGCACAGCATGTCTTACATGTCTCTGATCACAGGGCAGTGGACCCAGGTGGTCTCTCCCAGTCCAGTTATTCATCTAAAAAGGATGTTGTCCCCCATTATGGGATTATTAATTTTGCTTGTTTGTTTGTCAATAAAGTTTTAATATTAAGACATTTCTTGAATGTTGTTATGTTTGGAATTTTGTCAGAGAGACTAATTAAGGATTTATTCATTAAATAATTGACCATCACATGGATTTAAGGTTCTGTGGTTTATTGAATCAATAATTGCATTTTAGAAATTCTCTTTTTCCCCCTCAGTTTGAATTATTAAAAAAGTAAGTGCTGCTATTCTAGGCCATCTCAAACAATAACTGAACTTGTTTTCAAATGCTTTCAAAATAAATTGATGCCCTGAATCAATCAAAATATTATATGATATTTAACTATGTAAGTAAGAAAACAGTGAAGCACATTGAGTCCGTTCTGTTCAAGTAAAGAAAATATTGTGTAATTTTGATTTTTTGCTTTTTTGTTTTCAATTATAGGGAAAAGACATGTATCTCATACTGGAAAATGACATGTTAAATTTGGTTGACCCAATGGATCGCACTGTTCTTCATTCCCAGCCCATTGTGAGCATCAGAGTCTGGGGTGTGGGCCGTGATAATGGCCGGTGAGTTTACAATCTAATTCTTTGCTGTTTTGTCCAGTTAACTTCTACAAATGTAGGATACCTATGCAGTGTCAAAGAGAATCTTTCCCCATAGTCATTTTAATGGGTGTTTTTGTTCCTGTAAGTATGGGAGGATTTATATTTGTGATTTCTGATAGGTAGGTGGTTGTTCTCAAATATTTATTTGCTTTACATTTCTAATAGCAAATTTTGCAAAATATATACTGAGGCAAGATTTTCAAAGAGCTGTGAAATGGCCTGTTATACCTCTTTTAGATCCACAAAAGATAAAACTATTTTTGCTTACAGAACAAATAGTTAATCACTGAATTACTTGTGCAAATATTTGATCGTTCAAAATCAAGGGATAATTTTAAGTTATAGCAACATATTGATTGCTGCAGATACATACGGTATATTTATCCTGCATAATCAAGGTATATATTACTACCAGTTTATAGTTCATAGATTTTATAGACATTAGGGCTGGAAGGGACCTTGTGAGATCATTGGGTCGAGTTAAGGAAGTATTTAATTTTTCTCTGATTGTACATAGTCCTGTTTCTGCTTCCCAATACATTTGATTTGATCAAAATAGATTAATATTTTTTCCCTCTCGTTGTTTCTTGAGACCTTGATTTGGGAACACATTGCTATTCAGGAATGTGTAAATCCATTGATGTTAAATTAAGCCAAGGCTTTCCTGAATTGGGATAGACTTAAGCATGTAATAAAGTGCCTTCCTGAACCTAGGGGCTTAGCTGCCTTTTTCTTCCAGCCTCTGGCCAGTATGCTTTCAATAATTCCTATGGGCCCTTATACACTTGACAGATGTCTGCTCTGATGTGTGCTAACTAGCACATGTTGGAGCAGACTCGATTAATCAAGTCTGCTGAAGCGCACTAATTATCATGCTTCAGCGGCCTTCTCATCACTTGTATTCAGCGTACCTGCATTTCAAAATGGCAGTGGGGGCACTTTAAATAAAGCTCATTGAATAAGCTTTAGTTAAAGTGTCCCTGCTGCAATTTTGAAGAACGGGATGCTGAATACGCATGATGCTATGGACACTTTAATTAGAGAAGCTCTCAGAGTTGCTCTAATTAAAGCACCCCCCCCCACCCTAGAGCACATGTATAGATGGCCTATGTTTTTCAGCCTTGGCATTGAAACAATTATACTTCCTTTTCATGGAGTTGTTGCAGGAATACAGTTGTTAAAACGGCTTGTATTTAGTAGGAGTGTGCGAAATTTCGATGGGTGTTTCATTTCAAAGCTGTTTCGTCGTGTTTCAAACTTGAAACAGTAATATCAAAACTAAACAAAAGGCTTCAAAACAAAATGAGTTTCAAATTTTCAAAATTTGAGAAAGTTTTAAAACGTTTCAACTTTCGAAGCCGGGTTTGCTATAGCTAAACAGAAACTAAGGAGAGGGAGGGGGAGGAGGGGGGAAGGACTGTTCTGATATTGACATCTAGCTCCCTGTTCAGTTCCCCAGCTCTCTGATCATTTCCCCAGCTCTTCCCAGGGGGTGCAGACCTCTGATCTGCATGTGGGGTTTCAGCCCCTGAAAGCTGCGGTGGCGCCCTGCTGAAACCCAGCATGCAGATCTGGGGGCCCGCGCCCCCCAGGAAGAGCTGGGGAATCGAGCAGGGGGCTGGGGAATTATGCCGGGGGAATGTTCAGGACCCTGAACATTCCTCGAGTTCCCGGTTGGATTCCCCAGCTCCCTGATCTTTCCCCCAGCTCTCTGATTGCTTCCCCCAGCTCTTCCTGGAGGGTGCGGGCCCCCGGATGATGCGGAATGAGAGCAGGCTGCCACTGCTGGCTGGGACTGGCGCTGGGCACAGTCTGTCATGAGTGCCAGGAAGACTGGTGCTGGCACCAGCTGGCAGTGGCAGCCTACTGTCATCCCGCTCACAGATCTGGTGGCCCACGCCCCCCAGGAGGGCTGCAGGACTGTGCAAAGGTCCCCCCACCCGGATCTGTGCACAGGATGACAGCAGGCTGCTGCTGCCAGCTGGGGAAGCGGCAGCACCAGGCTTCCTGGCACTCAGCATTGTCTGCGCCCAGCGCCAGTCCCAGCCGGCAGCAGCAGCCTGCTGTCATCCTGTGCACAGATCCGGGGGCCCGTGTCCCCTTGGAGGAGTCTGGCACAGCCCCACAGCCCTACCAGGGGGCTGCGGACCTCCAGATCTGCGCGCGTGATACGAGTTTTGCTTGTCAGCAGTTTGAAGTACAGTTTCCCAGAAACCCTTGCATCTATCTCCTTGAAACTTGGCAGTGTCATGCCCTCAGAAGGGGCTACCATCCCTGCAATTTTTATCCACATCAGGCAAGAAATGACAAAGTTATAGGCATTTTCATGATTCCCCATTATTTCCTATGGGCGAAATGTTGAAACGCATCCAAACAGCTAAACGGTTTAAACAAAACAAAACAGTGCTTTGAAACAAAGCAAAACAATAAAACGAAATACTGTCCCTTTGAAATGGAAGTCAAAACGACATGGTGCTGTTTCAACCATGTATTTAGAACTACCAGTAGTATTTAGAGCTACCAGGAAAGTGTGTTCCTGTCCTGTGTTTGAGATTTTTAAAAAAACCTGTCGTTCAAGACTAGTTTGAATTAGAATTACCATGTCTGGGTTTTTCCAGACACATCCTCTCTTTTTAGCTCCCAATCTCTGTCCAGGTGGGTTTTTTAAATCTGACCAAACATCCAGGGTTTTCCTTTGTTCCACTGCTGGGAGCAGGGGAAGGATGATGGGAGGCAACAGGGAGCACAGATGTACCTACCTGCAGCTGCAGAGGCGAGCGCAGACCCATGTGGCACTCCCTGCTGCCTCTGATCACCCTCCCCCTTCTCCCACCAGTGGAGCAAAGCAAAATCCCGGACATTTGGTCAGGGCAGAGGGAGTGGGGGGGCTGGGGCTGCAACAGGGCAGGGGGATGGGGGGAGTTACCAGTTCCTCCAGTGGGGGAAGGGGGCAGGGGGCCCTTTGAGGGCAGCAGGGAACTGTGTAGCCTGGTCAGTAGCACAGGGGCTGGTGCCTGTGCTTGCAGGGGCTGAGTGACCAGAAGATGCTGCCTGGGAGGAGGGGGGAGGAAGGGGGCTGTGGCCTGGCTGCCTGGCGCTGCACAGGAGCTCCCGCCCATGGTGGGGGTGTGCCACAAGTCTTCCCTCCTCTTCCCTATAGCCCGCGCTGGGACGGGACACACTCTGCCACTGCCTGCATGAATCAGAGCCAGCCGTTCCAGCCTGGTCAGGACAAGGACAGCTGGGGCCCTTGTGGCAGGGCTGGGGGGCCAAGGGGCTGCAGGTCAGGAGTGAAGGGCACCGGCAGGGCTGGTGGGGTGGGCTGCGGCTTGGGAGTAAGGGGAGCCAGGGCCAGGGGACTGTGGATTGGCAGTGTGGGGCACTGGCAGAGCTAGAAGACTGCAGGTCAGGAGTGAGGGGCACTAGCAGAGACGAGGGTGGGGGTGGGGGGGGGTGCTGCGGGTCAGGAGTGAGGAGCACCATCATGACTCAGGGGGACGAGTAATGC